TATATATATATAAACACATTTTTTACGTTTGAGAAAGGGTTTAGGCACGAGCCTACAGTGCCTATAGGAATTAAGCTATGCCACTGTTAGACATAAGTTTACATCAACGCAACGTTTATATAACATTGCATACCTCCTTCTGTATTAACACTTTCTTTAGCGCAGCCTTGTCTGCCTGGTGGGTGTGCTCTCGGGAGTTGAGCTTGAACTCGCCTCCCTTCTGCGAAACAGTTGCCGGACAATGCAGACTTTTTGAGCGTTTCGAGCATCGCCAGTATGTAAAGTTGCCCTTTGAAACCTACAAAAAATAACATATGCGAACATGTAAATGCATATCATATATATATATATATGTATGTATATCAGAAGTAGAGATAATAGGGATTCCTTATTATCTACTTCTTATATATATATATATATATTAGCACCACAGATAGGGTTTGGCGTAAAAACAAATCACAAACCTTCTTGGTATATTCGTAGCCGTCGCTGCTTACTAGTCTGGGCCCACCACGCTGTGACCCCTGCTCCACCAAGGTGTAGGTCACAGGCCTGTCCTCTAAAATGGCACTGGGAAGTCTAGGCTCATGTAGAGAACTAAAAAGGATAAGGATAAACATATCACATACAAACATATAACTATTGAGCAAATATTTCTTGTCAGTCATTCGCAGAAAATCGACGTTTACGTTTGTTGTTGGAAAGTGCATCGTCATCAGTGTTTGAAATTAGCGTAACGTCGCAAAATTCTATCAAACAATTTATGAGGTGTGCTTACTCTTCAGCTAATTCTGGTTCGTCTTCGATGTCTTGACGTGTGATGTCAAAGCTGGCAGTTAGGTCCGAATGCGGGGGGTTCTGATCTGGCTCATGTGCTGGCTCACTCTCTGCTGTGTTGCTTGAAGTAGTCGGCACGTCAGAAAGGTGAAGAAGAGTGTATGTGCGATTGCACGGTACACTCTGGTCGAGTTCGGTCGAGTTGAGTGGTGCACTGAAATTATAAGAATGAACCGGTTTGCAAGATAATAGATATACGCTAGGGATCGTCTATAGTCTGGCATAATCTTACTTAGGGTTCGCACCAATGTACATGTTTTTTTTTCGTTCATTTTATGTTCTTACCAAATAACACATTTCCATCAACTGATTGATGCTAGGATGACCACGTAAAATGGACGGGACGTCTTCAGAAATACTAGCCATGCAATGGGATCGTAAAAGACCCACTGAGGGCGCAAATGAACTGTGGCTGTGACCACCCTCAGTGCCATTTGGATAAAATGCTGACTAACTGAACTGACTGCTGAATAAAAATAAGAAGAAGAAGAATAAGAAGAAGAAGTAATAAGAATACGAAATAAGAAGAAGGAATAAGAAATAAGAAGAAGGAATAAGAAATAAGAAGAAGGAATAAGAAATAAGATAGACAGGAATAAGAATAAAGAATAAATTTCCCCGCACATTCCAAACGAGAGGATTCGCGGCCTTGTTGAAATACAGAGATCGAGGCGACCCAAGATAAAGATACAACTGTCAGTTGCCACGCAGTTTGCGCGATATGTAATCTATATTCAAAACCGCGTCAAATACAATTGAATTTTACTGAAATATAGCCTAGTGGTCAATCATGTGATGCAAATACATATTATCAGGAGTAAGATAATATAGGATCCTATATCTATCGGACCCTATATATTATCTTACCTCCTGTATCCTATATCATTCACTTTGACATTCCAAAATGGGTGTAGTTTTAATGCAAGACTATTCTTAAGAGACTAAAGGGAAGGGAGAAGATAGCAGGAGACGAGAGAGAGAGAGAGAGAGAGAGAGAGAGAGAGAGAGAGAGGAGAGAGAGGCACCCGCCAGGCGTAGAGACGCGAGACGAGGGAGAGAGAGCATGAGAGAGCTAGAGGAGAGAGACGAGAGAGAGACCGAGAGAGAGGAGAGAGAGAGAGAGCGAGAGGAAAGAGACGATACCGAGAGAGAGCAGATTAAGAAACAAATAGAAGACGTAAAGAGCCAGACAGAACTGAGGAGACAAAAAGGATTAACAACATATACAGAGAGTTGGAAAGAGAAAGAGTGCAGAAGAGCGCAGACTGAGACAAGAGTTGCCCGAGAGGCAGACAGAGAAACACGCACCAATACAGATACTTAGAACTAGGGGAAATAAACAGCAGAGAGATAGAAAGACGAGAGAGGTTATACGATATATACAGAGAGTGGTGGAAAAAGGAAGATGAGAAGAGCGGTAGACAAGAAGTTTGCCAGATCAAGAGAGAGAGAAAAGCGCGTGCGAGAGATGGCGAAAAAAGACGAGAGAGAGAGAGAGAGAGATGAGAGAGAGAGAGAGAGAGAGAGAGTCTAGAGCAGAGAGAGAGAGAGGAGTAGAGGCAGAGAGAGAGGACAGAGATCGTAGCAGCAAGAAGATCAGTGAGTGGCTGAGAGACGCGCACAGCAGAGATAGAGATAGAGGGAGGGGGGAGCGGCGCTGAAGCGCAGCAGAAGAGAGAGAGAGAGAGAGAGAGAGAGAGAGAGAGAGAGAGAGAGCAGAGAGAGAGGGAGAGACGCAGAGAGCCAGAGAGAGAGATAAGACGAGGAGAGGAGAGCAGAGCCTAGAGAGAGAGAGAGCGAGAGAGAGAGAGAGAGAGCAGATAGAAAATATTAGAGCAAAGAGAGACAGAGAGAGAGAGAGAGATTACACATATACAGAGAGTGGAAGTGAGAAAGAGTTGGGTAGAACGAGGGCAGATAGACACGAGCTTGCCGAGAGGCCAGACAGAGAAACACGCACGTATACAGATACTTAGAAATTAGAACTATGAATGGCTGAGACTTGTTTGTTTTCCATAGGAGGCCTACTGAAGATAGACTTAATGGATAGATTATATTGTACTTTATTTGGCCAATCAAATAGTTGGCAATTTGGCGAGTGGGGAATCCTTATCGGAAAGGATTTTATATATAACTTATAAACACAAAGGAAGGAAACATGTTATATTATAATAAGACAACAAAAATTCTGTTGTCACATCATCATCCATGCTAGTCGTAAAACCTGTTGTACCACCACTGCACCAGCTCTTAGTCTTATGTAGCATATGCTCTTACGTGAGCAACATGCAAACGTGCGAATCCAAGGTTGCCTGGCCTGATGCTAGCTCAAACCAAATAATAGCCTTGATGGGTTTGTGCCTTTCAACACTTGCCACGTATAATGAATACAATAGGTGCGTGGGTGCCTATAAAATTAGGTTGTTCCATCATGTGGGAAACCTATATCGACCTAGATATAAAACATAATATATAATGATGATGATCTATAATGAAATATATATATTAGAATTCAATACTATTGACACAACATGTAAATATTAATGAGCACCATTTCTTTTTGTATGGTGCGCTGTGGTATATAACACGGAATTAAATTTTTATCTGAATTACGTCCTTGTAACAATGACAATGGCATCCGATATTTATCAGCAATCTCAACAATATATCACAAGTAGATCTATGATAGGGAACTATTATCCCTATTATATACTTCTGAATTCTGATATATATAAAGTGTTGTCTGTTGAGAGATCGTAAATATGCTTGAAGCTCCAAAATGCAACACTGCGCATACTACGTTATTCGGCTGACTAAATTAGTATTTGGACGCAGACGCGTTGCTACCATTAACACGCAGCATACGCAGTTGGCGTACACACATTATTTCACCAAACGTTTTTTTATGCCAGGAAGAGAGGAGAGAGCAGAGCAGAGAGAGTTCAGTCATGTCAGACTAATTGTCTACAAGACGCTGGCTGTGATGCATGCATGTAAACACACACAGTAATCAATGTTCAACAAGATCGTTGACACAATTCTGCCTTGTGAGCACACAGAGGCGACGTATGTGTGTCTGACAGTTTGCCCTGAATGCTAATATATATACAGTCATCCAGTACAAATGGTTGACTGCTGTTTCGGCCGCTTGAGATAGTTTTCCCAACAAAAGCCTTATTTATTGAGTAGCATGTTACTAGCATAACATAGTATGTTAGTAGCACTGTTAGTAGTAAACACTAATAACCGAATCACAACTCAACTGTTCCAAATTAGTTCTGATGAGTTAAAGCTTTACTTGATATCTAAGCTCCTCCCCTGACTAAATTATTTACGATTATATGTCTTGATGCTTTGCCTCAGCTGATAGAAATCAGCGTTAGCGTGAAAGCATCTGTCTTATTTACCACCGTGAACCCGTTACAATTATTATTTCAGGCGTCTTTACACTGTGAATTCTACATTTTTTCGTTGAATTCTTTTTAACGACTTCTCCTTTGATCTCTTGCATTCTTTCAACCATTTTCACCACACCACTGTATGCAGCGTAGACTGCGTCCTCGTCTCGAAATGAGGGATATTGAGGATATTGTTCTGATTGAGATATCTCTACTCACAAGCTTACGCAGGATTGGGGGACCAATGGAGTCCGTTGTCGTATCATTGCCACGTACGTACTTACAGCAGTCATGTCTACCGAGGTAGTTTTAGGCTTGTTTAGTATTATGTTTATATTTTTTATATGAGGTATGTTTAGGTTAGGGTTAGGTGTAGATTGAGCACTTTCTGGTCATACCAAGTATGGTACACTCTCTGTATACATATCATGGAGTACCTGCATACGACAACGACCCCTTCAGCCAAGCTTACTACTTTCAGTCGGCGGATTTAGTGGGTCGGGTGATGAATTAGGTCGGCTACCCCCCATCTGTTTGACTACAATATTTTTACTATAATCGCGCCGGCTGCATACAACGTTTACGTCACCTGATGCATTAGGGTTAAATTGTATCATAATTGCGAGTGGCAAGCAGTTTACACCCTTTTGCAGCTTTTTTCACATAATTTCAAGAAGAAAGAGTTGCTGTCGCCCCTTCATCCCAGCAGTGGTCACCCCTACACATTGGAATAATGAACGGCGACTTAAACAATACCGGTAATATGGCATTTGGTGTCTGACGTCGCGCCTGCGGCGGCGGGGGGATGGATGATATACCCCCCAATATTTGAGGTGGGGGATGGCCTGGTAGTTATTATCACCCCCAATATTTCAAGGTTAAATGTTAGTCGTAATGTGGTGTACACGCACACACGCCCAACACTCAACACGTACGCGCCCGATACACGCACACGCGACGCGCGCCATACACGCACACGCCACGGCGCCCATACAGCGCGACACACACGATACACGCACACGCAACGCAACATACACGCGCACACCACACCTACACACGACACGCACATATCACGCACACGCACGCGCCCATACACACACACGCACGCGCCACACTACACCTACGCACACGCACACACGCATCTGCGCACGCTCTGGCGGAGAGCTTGAGAGTTGTCCGGGCAGTGACGTGTGACGGAGACAGCCTGAAGAGGGAATTTAATCACAGTATATTGCTACCTATTATATATTACCTCCTCTCGAGATTGCCCACCGGTTTAACCGTGGACGATAGTCGGAGGAGCTTGGTTTGCTCTGGGTGCATCCCTGTGAGCAGATGCCTTTCGCGGCATCCAGGGACTCGCGTCTCTTTCGTCGCTCTCTTCTTCTCTGTCTTCTCCTCTCTCTCTCTCTCTCTCTCTCTCTCTCTCTCTCTTCTCTCCTCTCTCTCTCTCTCTCTCTCTCTCTCTCTCTCTCTCTCTCCCTTCTCTCGCTCTCTCGCTCGCTCTCTCGCTGCTCTCTCTCTCTCGTGAGCGGGCAGAAGTTCCTTTTCGCTCACCGCGTGGCAGATTCCCTGGCAGCGCCTAATTCGTACGCAGAGTATAGTCATTCCGAGCTTACGTGCGAGGTGCTCAGGAAGTCTCGGCGCCTCTCGCGTGGCTGATGAACGGCCAAAGTGGATTAATTTTTTTATCAGA